GGTGCAGTTGCGGGGTTTCTTTTAAATTCCCCTAAGTCGGAAAGACTAATATGAAGGAAAACGGAGCAACTCCCCTTCCACCTAATAACTCCTTATCTCTCTCCTTCCTGCGCTTCCTCCCGGGATTTGACACAGCTGACCTTGTTTTTCCCTTCAGGACTGGTTATTATCAAACCACCTTTGAAGCTGCGCTGTGTATTTATGTCAAAAGTGTAGAAACAAGAAACATGAAGCAAGAAGAAAAAATAAAATTGAAAAGGAAAAATTGGAAAGGAAATCTTTTGATAATAGGGATTGGGGCTTGGAAGACGTTCCCCACCCTCGCTGGAAGGAGTGGGTTATCTCTGGGATCAGTGTGAGTACGCTGCCACTACAGCAAGTAATCTTAAGATATATATTGAAATCAAACATGAATGAGTTTGATATCCCTGTGAACAGTGCTTTGCGCTGTAAACTTCAAATTGTCTGTTCTCTCATTTTAGTTCGGTTATTTTTAACTCGTAACTTTGAATCAGCGGGGTAATTAATTGAAAAAATATAAAATAATAATTATCCAGGGTGTTGTATCTGCAACTGATTGCGGCATCAAGGATCCCAACAAAATGTATAGCCGTTTTAACGTTTTTTGGACACAAACAGACAGACAGACAAGCTAAATATATAGAAAGACAAAGAGTGAATTTTAAACAGTCTAAGTCTTTGTTTGCAGTTCTAGCTTTTTATTTAATTTAATTCAAAGCTTATTAAGCTTAAAAAATTGAAATATAACATGTATTGTACACATTTCAGAGAGAATGGCAGAAATTATGGGAGGAGATAAAGTTACCATTAAAGAAGAAATCTCTACTGTAGAGGATACATGTACTGTATTTGTAGTGGGTGAAGATGTAAAAGAAGAAAGTACAGAAAATCAAGGTATTGTTAAACATATTATATTTATATTTGTATATATATATTATATATAAAGGATGATCGATTTTTGTATTTTTTTTTTAAATAAAAACTATGAATAAAAAGTACATGGACTCTAGGACTCAGTCCTAATAGTGGACAGGATCCGATCGAACAATACATCCCATTCAACTATGGTCGGCAGCTCCTGGCTCTTCATGGCTCACAACAGGCTCATCAACCCCTTCACCCCATTAAACTTAAAAAAGGACTATATTACTTTCCTAAAGTGATCATCCTAGGTTTGGTGCGCTCAATTGGATTGGTAAATAAAAAGAAATGAGCCAGCCCCAGTCCATTATCCCTTTTATAGCGTCAGTTTTAAATGATGTTTTTTCCAAAAAATTGTGAGTTTGATGAAGTTCAGTCAAGCCGCAGCGGATCCACCTGTATAGAAATAAGTTAAAACTGAACGTAATTTAAATTTTGTAAAAATATTAATGAAAGTAAAATGCGCCGAACTAAGTTTTAGAAGTTCAATTAATTCTTTTATTTTTTGCCAATCTGTGTAAAAAATTACAAAGATGTACCACGAGCCGGTAGAATGCTGTCCACCACGAGCCGGTGAATGCTGTCCACCACGAGCCGGTGAATGCTGTCCAATTGCTTTTGTTTTCTTAATTTAAATTGTTTTTTTTTATAAAATGGCCAATTTTTGGTGTATGGTCTAAAATATCCAATTTTGTCTCTTATTTGTTTCAATATCAGCAAATTTAGTTTACCATACGGATCAGGGGTTCAAACAACTCAATTTCTGATCCAAAATAAGATCGGCGTTGAAAGTACATTAAGGAGCATGAAAATACACTTCCTGTGTCATTATGAACTTAAGCAATTTTTGTGTTCCTTTGCTACACTTTAAGTTCTGTCCCTAATATCCATCAATCAACATTTGGGATTGTATTGGATGGAATTAAACAGACCCCTAATAAACATCCATTTTTTCCGGACACGTTAATTAACTAACCTTAAAATTTTTAAAAACCGACTAGATGGATTTTTAAATAACATTTTTTTCGGTTAATTTAAAGATTTTATTGAAAATTCAAAACCATTTGAGATTCTTGAGATTTATATTTTAATAATTCTTTTTTTGAATTTTTCAGGTGAAGTCTTCAAGATTGAAGAAGATCCCCTTTTCTCTGTACAAAAGAGGCTTAAAAAGAGTAAGCTAAGAGATAAAAGAAACAAAAGTTTTCCCTGCGGGAAATGTGATTATGTGGCAACCGAATCCACTAATTTGAAGAGACATATTAGAAATAAACATGACGGAGTGAGATATCCCTGCGATAAGTGTGAATATGTTGCTACTGGTGTAAGGAGTTTAAAGTTACATGTTGACTCTAAACATGAAGGAGTGAGATATCCCTGTAATCAGTGTGAATACTTTGCTATGAGTGGTAGAAGTCTGAAGTTACACATTGAATCTAAACATGAAAGAGTTAGATATCTATGTGACCAATGTGATCACTCTGCCACTAGACCAAGTTATCTGAAGATACATATTAAAAGTATTCATGAAGGAGTGAGATATCCCTGTGATCGGTGTGAATATGTTGCTAATGGTGCACAGCGTCTGAAGTTACACATTGAATCTAAGCATGAAGGGGTGAGGTATCCCTGTGATCAGTGTGATTACACTGCCACTGAAACAAGTAGTCTAAAGAAACATATTGAAAATAAACATGAAGGAGTGAGGTATCCCTGTGATCAGTGTGAATATCTTGCTACTGAACAAAGAAATCTGAATAGACATATTAAAAATAAGCATGAAGGAGTCAAATACTCGTGCGATCAATGTGAATATGCTGCCACTGACTCTTGTACTCTAAAAAGACATATTAAAAGTATACATGAAGGAGTGAAATATATTTGTCCTCTTTGTGAATACTCTTTCACACTAGCAAGTAGTCTGACGAAACACATAAAAAATAAACATGAAGGAGTTAGATATCCTTGCTACCAAAGTTCCTCCTTGAGCAATTAAATAATTAATTATAATAATAATTAATTAAAAATAATTAAAATCTCCAACAATTATGAAAGGTTTGGCCAAAAGTCTTAAAATTTCACAAAGTTTTTCATTGTTCTCTTTTACATCTGTGTTGTCATAAAGATTGTGAGGTCTGCAAACTAAAGCAATATTCAAAAAGAAATTATCTGGCTGCTGATATTTAATACAGGTTATATTTGATACTTGGATTTGGGTAATACTTCCGAGAAAATAATTATGAATAACATTTCCAATAAAAGTCATGAACACATTAATTATATTATCTGTTTTTATAGTTCCCAGAAGACCCTTTTTAGTTCATAAAAGGCCTTTTTTCTTTATTCTTTTTTGCCTTTCTATCCTTCTCATATCAAACCTTAAACTCCTAGCTTCCAAGGTTTGGATAATAACTTCCTTTATTTTATCCTCATATAATTCACTTTGCAGGTTTGATATCATATTGATGGCTCGCTTCTGTACATTTTCTAGGACAGGCTGACACAGCAAATTCTAAGATATAAGACTTTTAGTTTAGAAATTTGATTTATTTCTGTAAGTGGAATAGCCTGGACAAAATTTGCATTCTTTGCAGCAGATAAACACTGGGTTGACGGTATGAAGGATTCATGGGTTATTACAACAATATCTTTTTCTTGGCTAACTTTAAAAAAAAAATCTTTTCACTGTTCATGAAGTAGATGCAATTATTATTTTATTGCATACATGTAGAACCTTACATTTGGGATCAATAAAGTTGCTTCTATGATTAAATTCTTCTAAAATAGCATTGTGAACACAATGTGATAAAGTTGCCAAAAGTTTTCTGTACTTCATAAACTTTTCTTAAAAATGTTTACTTGTTTATTTAGATTTTCTTTTTAAATTCAGACGTTGCTGGTAAAAATTTGTGTGTATTTTAACAATATTTTTTTCAGAAAGAATGACCAATACAATTACATAAAAATTGACTATAGAAGACGAAAGAAGATATCGTTTCTATCAAGGAAGAAGTCCTTTCATCCTTTTCTGTGCAGGGTGATTTTTAAAAGTCGATTTTTTTCATTTGTGATTAATTGGATGAAAAATCCGCAATATTGAATAAGAAAATCTTCCAATTTCTTACTTATTATCTGACGTTTGATAACTTTCGAAGCAACAATGGCAACATTGGTTTCCTTTTTAACTTTCAATTATTTTCATTTAAAAAAGTTCCTTGTGAAGTTTGTGAAAATGTTACATCTCAATTTTGAGGAGTCGCAAACAGATTTCTTTTTCATAAGGTTAAATGAGGATAAACAGGCCCTGTATATGTTGAGGATACAAACCATGAAAGAGATTATTATATTTTCATTATATTTCATATTTGGATCCGTTCTGTACTGGTTTGCGTCCTTGTAGTGATGCGGAAATGTAGAAATTGTTGAAGACCAGACGAGTCAGCACATGGAAACCTAAAGAATCTAGATATAGATTCAAACAAATCTAGAAAATTGCCGCGTATGTGCGTTTTAAAATCTACCATTTGGTCGTATTCACAGTCATTGGTACATTGTAGAAATTCTTCACATTTCCAATCTGTAGTTTTTTATTTCCGGTCTATGGAAGGAAAATTAAAATCACTTATAAATATTGAGTTTCCTGGCGCTGATTACATCAATTTACAAAGTTCCTCTGTATTTTCTTCCTTTGAAATGGTGGGCCTGTACACCAGAGTAATATTCAAAATTAAATTAATTAAAATTATTTGTAACATTTCTGGATTTTATCATATAGATAAATAGACAATTTGACCCCCTCCTATACCATTTAAAGTATCTGTACGGTCCTTTCTTAATATTTCAATATTATATCCATTCACATTCAACATTGCCATTCTAGTTTCAGTGTTTTACCAAGTTTCGGTAATTAAAACAATATCTGGACTATGGGGCTTGGTCCCCAGATTATCGATTTAGTGGCAGAAGATTATTTCCGTGAACTGCAGACTGATGTACATGGGTAACCACATATATTGAACTGGCACGGACAACAGCATATTGTAATGTTAACTGTTTATTCTGAAAATTGATCGGCAAGGAATACGCCGGATGTTTCTGTTAGTAATAACAAATCATATAATTTTCCCCTACTTTATTTATTAATTGTCATTTAACTATCATTATTTTATAATAATTAATCTGCATATTTACTTTTTTAACGGAAATATATATATATATGGTATTTTTCAAAACTGTTTAAAATCATGTTTGTTATTAATCTTTGTGAAGAAACAATCTCAAGAACTGACAAGGGTCAACCCAGACCGAAATATATTTTCAATAAATGTGGAACTAACATCTATTTTTTTACTCTACAGAGGTTTGGTCCATTACCATCACCGAAATTTAAATAATATCATATATCCACAAATTATAAAGACTGAATTATTAAACTCTTTTCTTTCATCAAAAATTTACAAAGAATTCCTTATAAAATCAGGTTGAAATTAACATTCTCATTTTTAGTTTTAAGAAAATGGCCTGCCGTCTGTGCTAGTTCAAAACTGTTAAAATTCGTTCATCTGGTAGCTGAATTTTAAAATTATTGTTTGATTAAAATTCTCAATCTAGGCTTGAGAAAATGACCGGTCTGAGCATTTTCAACACTATATAAACTCGTTCATACCAAAAGACTGATCAAGGATAGTCAAAATATTATTTAAAACAAGCAAGAATAATCCCGAAAAAGCTTATCAGATTGGTTCAGATGGAATCTATATACTTAATACTTATAGCAGCGGTATTAAATCATAAATCAATAAAGACTGGACCCATGCATGAAGGGTTTGATGCCCCTTTAACAATAGCACTTTTTTGGAATTTTTGAAAACAATTTTAACTAATTAAATTTGTATAGGTGATCTGTTTTAACCAGCCATTCGCATTTTTTACCCATCTGAAAAATATCGTAAATTTTATAAATAATCATCGTTTCTGGGTGTTTCATGGGAACTATGAAACATACTTAATTTTATCGGAAATTTTTTAATGTTTGAATTTTTAAAATTTATTTTTGATATTTTAAGTTTATGAATAAACACGTAAAACCTAGGATGATCATTTTAGGAAAGTTAATAGAGATTATGAAAGAAGGTTTTAATAGTTTTCAAAGAGATTTCAAGCTGGATTTTTGACAAGCCAGATGTGAGCCATGATAAGCCAGGAGCTGCCGAGTGCCGATAATAGCGGGGTCAATTGGAATGTATTGGTTAATCCGATCTTTTTTTAATATTGAAAATTTATGTAAGTTATCAGGAATAAATTGTTAATTTCTTTCATTCCTTTTTTTTCAAGAAACTCTAGAATAGCCATTTTAGGTATATTTAACTGAGATTTTATCAACATGTTATTATAAAGAGAAAATGGTTTAATTGTGATAGCTGGGGTTTTATCACTTGTTTAAAGGATGCAGGTCTACAGGAGGATCAAGGAGATGATGTCCTTTATGCACTAGGGTTGATAGTCCTAAGTTCTGTGGCAGTACAAAGTTCGGATTGTAAAATGCATCAACAAAACATATCTAATTTCTGGAGGAAAACATTATTTTTGAAAAGGGGAAAGATTTTTCAGGAAAAGAACCGAGTTTTTGCCACAAACTCAAATTTTCTAATCCCTATTTCTAGAAATCTTTGATATTTTAAACTTAGGCTTTTTGGTTTAGCAGAAATTATAGCGTGAAATATCAAAAATCTACGACATCGGGTTGCACAGACAAAGGGATTATAATTTTGAGGTTGTGGCAAAAACTCATTTCCTTTGCACCTCTGATATGTAATCAACAAATATATATTTCAAACTGACTGATGAAGGACATGAGGTTCTTCAAAAAAAACTAAACAAAATAGGGGTGTCGTATCGTTTGCACTAATGATTGATCGCACTAACGTTCATTCGGACTAACGTTTTATTTGAGGGTTAGGTTAGGTTATGACAATTTCTGGGCCGAGCGCTGCGGCTAGGACAGGCTAGGGGCCGAGCGCCGCGGCTAGGACAGGCTAGGGGAACGGGCGCTGCGGCCACAAGTTTTACTGATCAGCTGACTTTAGTGCAAAAGTACGTTAGTTCAATCGGACAGTGCAAAAGATATAGCATCAATATAGGGGTTTTCAGCTTAAAAATCAATTATTAAGTACAATGGAATATGAACACTGCACAATAGCTGTCAAGAATCACAACTTGAGTCATAACATCGTCTTCCTCTTCCACAGTTTTCTTGTTTCCATCATGCATAGTTTGAATTGTTTCAGTTTGAAAACTAGGACCAAAGTCCACATGTGACCTGTATTGCTCCACCAACATAAAATTTTTGCTCATCAGACATAAAATTACTGCTTTCCTACTGTGAAACGAACGGGGGAAGGCAGGCGGCCATGAGCCACCACTATTTCCCCTTCCGGGCCACATATTAGCTTTTTTCTCTTCCGGCAGCCATGAGCCACCACTATTTCCCCTTCCGGGCCACCACATTTGACTCTTCCGGGCAAAATTACTTTTTTAAATGGTATATTTAGGATAGTTTTTTAGTCTTTAGTCATTAATTTTGACTCTTTTTGAGTCTTTTTGTTCCTAATTATTAATTTTTTTGTTCCTAAAAAATCTTGCCCCCCTCACTTAAATCCTGTATCCGCCCCTGCGTCCAACCTAAAACTTCTGCTCATCCGATCTAATATGTTTTCTTATCCTACCTTAAATTACTGCCCATCCAGGAAAAAATATTGCTCAGTTGACCTACAAATATTGTTCCTGCAACCTAATAAAATTGTTCATTCAAAGCAAAAATTATTTGAGCAAGTGCCTAAAAACTTAATCATCCAACATAAAAATATTGGTCATCCGACCTAAAAATATTGATCATCCGACCTAATCATATATTAGACTAATCACATAAAGACAAAGGCAAAATTTCCCACATATTCAGAAGAATTGGTTTCATGAATAAAATTGATCGTTTTAAGTTAAGCATCTCAATCTTTGCAGAGGGACAGGGTAACTTAAAAATAAGCTCATTTTAATTCTTTAAAAGGAAATTCAAGGAGGGGCAAATCTTTGCAAACAAACATTTAAAGAAGAAAAGATTGAAAACGTTAGAATACAAATTTGAAGGAAAAATCGATTTCTCGTGGAATACAAATTCTTAGGTTATTATATATATACATATATACAAGAACACAGATCGCTAATGCAGACTGTTAAGCTGAAAATTGTACAATCCCTTGTACATCATGAACTCGTCATTTTTAAAGGTCATTGAATACCCTTTTCTTCTCGGGGTCAATCTGTAGAGTATTTTTTAAAAATTTATTCAAAGAAGTTTAATAAAAACTATGGCTTCTCACATTAACTATTTTAGCTTTTAACCCTAATCAGGTCGGGACGGCCTTAAAGTTTTATTTGTCCTAGCTCTCTCATTTTTGTCACTATTACCGTGAAATTTTAAACTACTATTCATTAAACTTTTAAAGAATCAAGGGTGTAACGCAAGGAAAGTTAATTGCAGTCGTATATACTCTGCGTACACATTGAAACCTGTTCTCTTTGGGCGGAATTTGTAAACAAGAATGGGTACATTAGTGTTCGTTTAGTATCCGAGGAGGTTAAAAGCATTAAATTTTGATAATTTTGATAATTCACATAATAGTTTCCTATGACCAGAATATTTCATTGATTTTTTTTATGAGAAAGATGGATCCCATGTCAGGCTTTGACATCTATCTTGTGTATACATTACCGCCCAGAGACAGTGCATGCTGCAGTACAAAAGATGTGTAAACTTCTGAAATAACTTTCCTTGCATTACTTCCTTTTAAAGAATAGTAATCTAAAGGATTTTTTGTCAATTTTTTTTAATGCATAAGGAGGTAAAAGGTCCGGTCTGTGTAAAAAAAAATTCAAATGGCCCATAACTTTTTTGTGACTAAAGCTACAGATCTAAAAATTATATTTTTAAAAACCCTTGAAAAATGGATGTAGAAACAATGTGTCACAATTTGATATCTGTTTAAAAAAATTACTTTTGTTTTTCCTTTTCTTGGGCATTTTTCAACCTTCCCTATGGCCCAAACTATTAAAGTTATCGGTCTAATTTTTTTTTCAATGAGCTGGCCTTGAAAAACTGGTCTATGGATTTTCATTTAAAGTTCATCTTTTCTAAGTTTTGCTCCATATTTCCTTGTATTCTAGGTTCTGCTCCATAATTCCTTGTATTCTAAATTTTGCTCTATAATTCCTTCTATTCGAAGTTCTGCTTCATAATTCCTTGTATTCTAGGTTCTGCTCCATAATTCCTTGTTTTCTAGGTTATGCTCCATGATGCTATAGGTGCTGCTCCATAATTCCTGGTATTCTAGATTCTGCTCCATAATAACTTGTAATCTAGGTTCTGCTCCATAATACCCTCTATTCTATATTCTGCTCCATAATTTCTTGCATTCTAAGTTCTGCTCCATAATTTCATGATTTCTAGGTTCTGCAACAAAATTTCTTCAATTCTAGGTTCTGCTCCATAATTCCGTGTATTCAAGGTTCTGCTCCTAATAATTCATCTTTTCTAAGTTTTGCTTCATAACTCCTTGTATTCTAAGTTTTGCTCCATAATTCCTTGTATTCTAAGTTTTGCTCCATAATTCCTTCTATTCTAGGTTCTGCTCCATAATTCCTTGTATTCTAAGTTTTGCTCCATAATTCCTTGTATTCTAGGTTCTGCTCCATAATTCCTTGTATTCTAGGTTCTGCTCCATAATTCCTTGTATTCTAGGTTCTCCTCCATAACTCCTTCTACTCTAGGTTATGCTCCATAATTCCTTGTATTCTAGGTTCTGCTCCGACCATAATTCCTTCTATTCTATATTCTGATCCATAATTCCTTGTATTCTAGGTTCTACTCCATAATTCCTTCTATTCTAGGTTCGCACCATAATTCCTGGTAATTAAGGTTCTGCTCCATAATAATTCATCTTTTCTAAGTTTTACTTCATAATTCCTTGTATTCTTAGTTTTGCTCTATAATTCCTTGTATTCTAGGTTCTGCTCCATAATTCCTTATACTCTAAGTTTTGCTCTTTAATTCCTTCTATTCTAGGTTCTGCTGCATAATTCCTTGTATTCTAGGTTCTCCTCCATAGTTCCTTCTATTCTAGATTATGCTCCATCATTCCTTGTATTCTAGGTTCTGCTCCATAATTCCTCCTATTCTTTATTCTGCTCGGTAATTCCTTCTACTCTAGGTTCTACTCCATAATTCCCTCTATTTTAGGTTCTGCTCCATAATTCCTTCTATTCTAGGTTCTGCTCCATAATTCCTTCTATATTAGGTTCTGCTCCATAATACCTTGTATTCTCGGTTCTGCTCCATAATCCTTTATTCTAGGTTCTGCTCCATAATTCCTTGTATTTTAGGTTCTGCTCCATAACTCCTTCTATTCTAGGTTCTACTTCACAATTCCTTCTATTCTTTATTCTGCTTTATAATTCCTTATATTCTTTATTCTGCTCCATAATTCCTTTTATTCTAGGTTCTGCTCCATAATTCCTTATATTCTAGGTTCCATGCATTGGCTCCAATGATTTGACTCTTTAAATCCAATGTATGGTAAACGCCTCGACCTTTGAATACAGGGGGGGGCAGGGGGGCATTCGCCCCCCCCCCCCCCTGAGATTTAGAGGCAAAAAAATGTTCCCAATTTGATAAATCGTATGTGTTTTTCAATTTCAAGCTATTTGATTATTTTTTATTGAATGGAAATATAATAATTAATATTTATTGTTAACGATAAATTTAGAATTAGAAATTTGTAAGAAACTAGACTTAAGTTATAATATTGTTTATATCTATGTAATGTTCCTTAATCAATACTCATTTATTAAAATTTTAATAGTGTTCCTAATTTTCATGCATTTAAGTATAACTAGTAATTTCTTTTTGTTCTTAAATTTCTAATGTTCCTATTATTGTTCCTGTTCCTAATACTGTGTCCGACCCACCTTAAATCCCTGTCCTAATCCTATATTTTTGTTCCTAATTCCTGAACAATTTTTTTGTTGTTCCTAAATCCCTGTCCTAATCCTTTATTTTTGTTCCTAATTCCTGAACAATCTTTTTATTGTTCCTAAATCCCTGTCCTTATAAATCCTTTATTTTGTTCCTAATTCCTGAACTATCTTTTAATTGTTCCCAAATTTCTGTTCTAATCCTTTAATTTTGTTCCTAAAAATTAAAAATCTAATTTTTTAGTCTTCAGTCATCAATTTTGACTCTTTTTGAGTCTTATAAGTCAAAAAAAATTTCGGCACGATTTTTTGTTCCTAAAAAAATCTTGCCCCCCCCCCTCACTTAAATCCTGTATCCGCCCCTGTTCGAATTTAAGCGATGAATAAAAGTATAAATAATATCAGTAACAAAAATTCTCCGTGAAAAGTTCCGATTTTGCTAAATCCTCCCAAAACTATCTTGAACGGTAGGCAGATGTCAAGAAAGCCAAGGTTTGTTTATTTACTTCGATAAACTTGCTTCTCAGCGATTAAAGGTCGGTACGGTACGGTTGTCATGGGAAGGTTTGGCAACCGAGCCAAACAGGGGGAAAAGTATTTTTAAAAAATACATATTTTTTTAAATATTTAAAATTAATTTTGAGAAAAAAAATATACTGAAGATTTTGATATAAATATTCTTTGCTTTGTGAGAGAACCTGATTTAGACTGAAAACGAGCCAGTACAACCTGTTGTATGTCTACAAGCATGGAGTTTGGAAGGGCTTGGGCCTACTATAGAGACACCTGCCGCCCCTCTTGACTTGAATAGTGACCCGGACCGGACGAACAGCTGATTCCCGTCCAGCCTTTAAATATCTTCCGGACCGGGTTAACCCAGGCATAGTGGCTTCATAAGGGCGGACCGGTACATCAGCTCACATCGTAGTTACACCTGTCCCGGTCCGTTCTCCCAGTCCCGTCGGCCAGTGGGCCTGAAGCCTTCACGTCACTGCGTGGCAGTTCAGTTCAGTTGCTAATGGTGTGTGAAGCAGTGAGTGTTCAGAATGGACACATTGCTAGGATACGAGGAATTCATGGAGAATAATTCTACGCCAGAGCGTAGTAAAAGGGAAGAGGAGAGGGTTGTTATTATTCCTCGTAGAGAAAGTCAAGAAGAGGTAAAAAATTTAAATGGAAGTACCTTAATGAAAAAATCTGCAATAATCAACAGCTGGAAACTTCGCGAAATTATCTCGAGAATTTTCGCAACAGTGTAGACTTTTTTTTTGATATCGAAAAATTATGGAATTTTAATTAAAAATTTATTATTTTTAGGATTTTAATTGTATTCCTTCAAGTGCTATGGAACAGTATTTAGCCAATAGAAGATGGCCTGAACAAAATAGGTAAATAAATAATTTATTTTATTAAAAATATATTTGTTTAATTTTATCATTTTTCAGTGAGTTTCGTGACCCATCAAGTGATAAAAAGAGCTTAGAATTTACAAGTGATAAAGTGAATGAGTTTCGGAAGCAAAGATACGGCTCGTCTGAGCCGGAAAATAAGAAAAGTCAGACAACTGAAGATTATTTTAAAATGTTAAATCAATCAGGGGGTGTACAGACCCCCTCTCAAGGGGGTGGAGGACATCACTTTGCCCCACCAGGGAGTGGACGGGGCCCAGATCTAGGGGCGTATTCAGGTATGCGACATTTTAGTACTTCGGGTTCATAGAATCCAAAATCTGCAAATAAATCAATCTTTTTTCTTTAAACTTATAAATTCTAAATAGTAAATCAGTTAGGCCAAAATTTTGCGGGAAACAAACTTTTGCAATAAAAAAAGAACCTTTGAATTTAAAAAAGAAAATTAAAACTTCGTGAAATACTTATTGATCCCAATGGATTGGAACCTAATGGATTGAATCCTATCCTATATTTAATCCTTTCTATCACTGTTCATTAAACTGAATACTTAAATCATGTTTAAAGTCGTAAAATCTAACAAGCAACTAATTAGGACAAAAATCCTTCCATAATTTCTTCTATATTTCCTTTAAGGGACTGCCAGTGGGATTTTAAGTGGCCTAGCAAGTTAGTTTCATGAAAGTATCCATGATGAACTTATTTCTTACATTTTAATAATTGTTTCTGTAGCATTAATCCGCACATCAATTTTATTCTAAAATGAAAAATAAAAAATTTCATCTGGATATATACGAATTTAAACATGATTTAAATGGTACTGTTGAGAATCGGACTTGCCAATCGTTGTTTTTTATTAATGGAGGTCACTAATGATAATTTTCCAGGATATGCCATGCGATATAATTATTGGAATTATTACTGTAAGTTAAATGGTAGTAAAAAATATTAAGGGTATATATTATATTGTTTCAAGATTTAAGCCGGCGCTGAATTTAAACCGGGTTTTGGCGGATTTAAACCCGCGGCTCAAATTCTTTAAATTCCATCTCCGAAGTTTTTTTTCTGGTTGTAATATATTTTTAATTGTTTTATGTTTTTTAATTTGTAAGAAAGTAAACTTTACAACATTCGTTGTAAATCACAAAAAACTGATTGTTAATTCATAAAATAATGTTAGATGTTAATTGATACGTGTAATGTAAAACATATATTTTATTTTGAAAAAAAATACTTATATCAGTGCAGGCTTTTAAAACTCGCTCATGAATAAATGATGGCAAATCTTAATAATTATTATTATTCATAAAATGTTGTCAAATTAAATTAAGCCTTTTTATTATGCGTTTCTATTTAATATTGCATTTTAAAGTTGGCCTATTTAATTTTAATTTGAATATATCGAACTGAAACTTTAAACCTTGATATCAAGTATCAACATTTTAAAAACATAACGAAGAAGAATTGAAACAAGTTCTTATCTTTAGTAATTCTGATACAGTATTCTTTTATCAGTCGCTGGACAAGGGGGGGGGACGACTAGATAATATATCTGGATTTGACCCCCCCCCCCCCCCTGCTCAAATTTACAGTTTTACTTGCTGTAACACGGTGGTCATAATTAATTATATCACGCATCATTTATCCTAGTTTATAAAATGCCATAATTGGTTCATTTCCTATTTTACTGAAATTGTCCTAATTTCAGTTAATTACAAAAATATCTAAATATAACTATATAAATTCAAAAAGAACAAACAGAATTGCAGTTGGACCCTTGAAGCAAGATGGAGAATTAGTTACTGATCGTAGAGTAATTTGCAACCAATTGGGGGATTTTTTTGGCTCTGTATTTACAATAGATGAGATCTCAGACACCAATAACTACATTGAAGACCTAACTGATCAGAAGATTGAGGATGTTATAATTACAGAGGATCATGTCAAGAAGAAACTAAAGACTCTCAAACCCTTTTTCTCTTCTGGGCCTGACAACATTAGTACCAAAATCCTAATTCTTGCTTTCATATGATGAAATTTTTGCTCCATTTCAATTGATTTTTCAGCAATCACTGAACACTGGAACTCATTCTAATGATAGAAAAAAAAGCAAATGTTGTACCAGTTTTAAGAAAGGGGCTAGAAAGAACCCGAAGAGTCGTTTATAACGGTAAATCATCAGTTTGGTTTAGTGTTCCACAAGGGAGTGTCCTGGGTCCACTCTGTGTTGTTATTTACATAAACACTGAAGATCTAGTAATTGAGGATGTACTGACTTTCCTGTCAAAGTTTGCAGATGATTCCAAAGCTGGTAGAAAGGTTAACTCAGATCATGAAAGAGAGAAATTACGAGTTCATTAAATGCTCTAACTCAGTGGGCACATGACTGGAAAATGCAGTTTAATGAATCTAAATGTAAGGTGATGCTTATTGGAAAAAATGATTCAAGATATAAATATCTCATGAATTGAGTGGCACTGGAGGCTTCTGACAATGAAAAAGATGTAGAAGTAATCATTCAGGAGGACTTAAAACCAATAAAACAGTGTGGTTCTGCGTTAGCTAAGGCTAACAGCATATTAGGCCAGACGGCCAGATCCCTTTCTTACAGAAACAAAACTGTATGGATATCTCTGTATAAAACTCATGTAGGCCCCACCTTGAATACTGTATAAAGCCTGAAATCCCCGGCTGATAAAAGATAAAGAAATCCTGAAAAAAAGTTAAGAAAAGAGCTATTTCAATGACTTCTGGACTCTCATGAACTACATATGAAGATAAGCTGAGAAAGGTTGAACTCACTACTCTGGAGAATTGTAAGAAGAGGGGAGATATGGAAAATTCTATTTGGATGTGAATAAAAACAAATGGTTTAGCTCAGCTTATGAACCTTGAGAAAATGAAAGTCAAACCAGAATGTCCAGTGATCCTTTAAATCTGAAGATTCATGTTATGCATACCGAAATACGAAGAAACTTTTTTAGTTTAAGAGTTATAAATATGTGGAATGATACCATATGAAATCAATAGGGCTGGAAACCTGAACATTTTCAAAAAAAAAGTTCGACAACTGGCGAAACTACTGAAAGGCAAATTAAGTTAGGAAAGAGATGTTTTAAATTATCACACCCGTGATATATAATCATTTAAACCAATTAAAGTTATTGTAGAAGTAATAATGGCAAACGCTTTATGAAAAATATAAAATAATAAAAAAAATGATAACCTTTTAAATGATTTGATTAAATCCTAGTGTAAGCTTGCCCATAAACACTGTTGAAACTGTTTACAGTTCCGCCTGTAAATTGTTAATAACTCCATTGAAAAAAAGAACATTGTAAAGCTTCACAACGCAATAACAACCTCCTAATGTAAGACATACCCAATTATAGAAAACCAACTTTGCCCGAAAATATACTTGAACCCTGATGCCCATAATACCTTGAAATAAGAAGACTATTGTCATGTTCAAGTTATGATTCTTTTTCGTCCAATGAACATGAAATACGTTAATTGGATTTTTCTAGCTACTGGTGAAAGTATTTGGTTAAACTACAAAATTTTCTAAAAATGTTGTCTTTCTATTCCATTGTTGAAGGTTCGCACTGTATATTTCGATTTGCGACCTTAGTTTTTGTAAATTGGATTACAAAAATATGTATGGCTTCCTTTACTATATCTCGATATGTTTATTTAGATTTTAACAAAAATAAAACAATATCAAAATGTCATTTTTCCATTAAATATAGTTTGCTCTACAAATAATAATTTTGATAATTTTTTTCGTGTTTTTTTCCATTTTTTTAGTTTTTTTTTGTAAAGAATTAACAAATTACAATTAGAAACAATGGAAACTCATTTTGTAAATGTTTAATTAAGTGTGAAATTTTTATTATTTTTTGACGGTATTGGTTTTGCATGTTTATGTACATATCAAGTTTTTTTGCACTGTAGGGTGACATACTTTTCTCAAATCATGTCTTTTTATGTCACACTGTTAAAGGAAGATGAAAAGTATATACAATCGTATGGAAATTATAAATCGTATCACACATTTTATTTATTCAAATATTTTTTTTTTTTTCTGTGTTTTATAATTTTTCCGAGCCAAGATTTAAAAATATGTTTTACGGATTGTAAAATGTTTCAATGATAGTTTGCATCTAGATCTGATTTTGAAAGAAAAGTAAATGATTGATTTATTTTGACACCATTGAAAGCGAAACATTTTGCGATCCTAATAATTTTTAAAAACTAAAAAAATTTCAATTATCATTTAATTTCTTATATTTTAGGGAATCATCAAAACTCTCAGAATCACGCTGACATCAGGGGCCATCCATTACAACCCCCTCACGAGGAGAATAGGGGCCCTCCCTTTCCATCCCCTCATGATCCATACAGAGGTCCTCCTATTCACTCCCCTCAAAATCATCTCAGAGCACCCGCAATGCATTCACCTCAGGATTCTATGAGAATTGCTCCCATGCACTCCCCTCATGATCAAATCAGGGGCGCCCCAGTCCACTCCCCACTTGATCTGGGTAGGGGCACCCCTGCACCGTCTAATCAACCCCTGGACAATAGGGGCACTCCATTCTCACCCCCACCACCGGCCCAGGCTGGCAGGGTTACCAGGTAAATATAATTTTACTATAATTTTAATAATACCCGGCGTTTTCCGTGGAATTTCAAGAATATTTTACTATGTCACTCACTCTGAAAATTTCAGCCAATTTGGTGAGCTTTATTTTATAGATTAATTGCGTTGCATTTTTAACGGTACCCTTTAATCATTTGTCCTTACGGATATAAAGTAGTTGTCCCTGTTTTTGATGCGGCAATTAGGGAAATAATTTTTAAAAAACGACAATATTTTTCGTTTTGATACTCACTTAAAGGACAGAAGGGTTAATTTGAGAATTGGCCATTTACAGCTATACAATGAGGGTCACTCAATATTACGTTAGCAGTCTCTTTAATAATTGGATTTTTTGAAGAGTGTCTCAAAATAAGTCCAATTTTCAAAAAAGGGCCGTATTATGTATGTAAATTTTATTTACGCTTATATGCAATAGCTAGATACAATTCTTTTTTTTTTAATTATTCAATCTTTTATCTTTTTGTTAAATCCCAGGTATATCAATTTAGATCTATGCACGATCCAATATGATGTGGGACACCCTGTATTTCATGGACAGTTGAACATACGTTTTTCTAGAATTTAACTGTTCTTTTATTTGATTCTCCACAAAGCGTTGATTGAGAAAATATTAATATTGACTCTCTGAATAATTAATAGCTCTAGGAATCTAAAATTAAAAAATTATTCATTTAATTTTACGAATATTAACATTAGTCTTAAGTTTCTCTTCAAATGTATTTTACGAATTTAAACTTATGTTACTCTTAAAATGTATGTTTTGACAAAAGATATTTTTTAGTTAGGAAAAGTATTTAAAAAAGATAAAAGGCTCTTTTGTCCCATTACTTTTGATTTGTCATTTATAAATAATTTCCCCTTGTAAATGTTTTTTGTAGAACTATTTGATTTGGATAATACTATATCTTTCAAATTCCCCTTGAATGTTTTTTATTTGATCTAATTATAATGCTAATTTTTCAAAACATTATTTTTATGATATAAACTGGAAACCGGTTAAAATTTTAACCTTTTTAGGGAAAGATCGAGATAGTTTATGATTAGATTTTAAGAATTATTATTTTTGAATGTTAATCATCATATTTGTAGTTTTGCCTTACATAATGCGAAATTTCTTTTTCTCAATAAAAGATTGTCACCAGAATTTTTTTAAACGATACCATAGGTTTTTTTGTTTTTTTTTGGTCTGGTAATTTGCAAAGATTGCAATACCTGATTCACTACGGTACCCTTGAAACATTTAGCTGATCAAAAATGTGGAAGATATTGTCGTTTTTCTAGTCACTTTTGTAGACAAACCACAAATGTAAACAATCAGTTTTCCAAATTATAAACATTGATATCTTATTCATGCTTGACCACACAAAGCTTTAAGGATACTGTTGTTAATCAGGGATTGCTATCTTTGCAAGTATGGTCAGTTGAAATTGCTCTTACAGTCACTTTAAACCGATTTACATTTCTATTTTCAGGACGTTTAGCCAGCACTGGATAGTAGTTGGAGGCTCACTTAGAGTCCTTCTTCTAGATTTTGATGGAAAATTCAACCTTCTCATTCCTAATATTGAGATAGGGAAGGCATTTAGGTAGGTTTGGTTCTTATTTTAACAGTTTGGGGGTCAGATTTTATAAAACGTGAGAAAAAGTTAAACTACGTCTGATTAGTGAAGTTGATAGTGCACTGAACTACTTCTGTGTTCAGTTAAATCCGAACGTATTTGGACTGATTTGGCTAGTTGAACGACTTCTTACGTGTCATCCTAGAATAGTGGACTTGACTCTCCGTACAAAGTTTAACTACTATTTGCAATTTATTGAATGTAACCTCTCCGTTAAATATCTACTTTGGGAAGCTTTTATCTTCTAACTGATTTTATTGTTATTAATGGTATGTACTAACATTTTAAACTGTTAAAACTTCGATTCAATTTTATTAAGCAGTGGTGTATATTTCTTGAACATCATTTTTTTTATCCCCACGTATCAAAAAGAATGAAAAGCTTGCCTTTTGATGCCCAATTTTTATTTGTAATTCTTAAAATTTGTAATTTACAAATTATTAATTAATTGATAAATGTTAAGACTGAACCGTGCTGATGTTGAAGTACAGACTAGGGATCTTGAGGGTGGTGTTAAACTCACTTTTATGAAGTTTACCTTTGCTTCTCCATCACTAGAAATCAAAGCTCCCGTCCTCAATGATAAAACTGTTGGATTTCAGGTATACAGAAGATTAGCTTAAATGCCCGTCGTTTTTATAAAAAAAATGTCGATTTTTTTAGCCATTTAATATGACCCTCAACGTCTGATTCACACCAGTACCCTCAAAACCTTTATCTGATCAAGAATGAATGAGATAATCCAATTTGTCTGGGTAAAAATTGAGTATTTCTTATTGTTGTCTCTCTAATAAAATTACTTGCGCAGATTACAATTACAATTAATATTTTTCACCTTTTTAAGCGTAAACGATGGATGATTGGATATTAATTGAAATTCTTCGTAGCGGATTGTAAGCTTATTTCAAGTGCCCCTCAATACAAAGATGGGTTGTCCGATTTTACGACCCTACCTTTGACACCTCCAATTGTGTGGAAGATATTTTCGTATTTAGGGTTTGAATTTGGTTTAATACTTTTTCATGGAGGGTCACTTAAAATACTCAGGCCCTTAAACCCTATAAAAAGAAGAAGGTACAAGGTGATAATTGCGTCATGCGTAGGTGCTACGGCGGAACGGTGCCTGCGTATTCCTGAGTCGGATTTATAATATTCCAACTCTCAAACCTGGGACTGATGTAAACAAGGAGAGATTCTGCAGTACATCTCAACAGGAATGTTTCATTGAGTTTGAACGACTTTTTTCTGTAAAAATGTTCTGTCACTTAGATTTTAGGGAGGTGGAGGGGGTGGGGGGAAGCGAGTTTTTGAATTAAAATAAGGAATCTAAATCCTTATAAAAATGTGTTAGAATCGATGTGGGAGGGGGGTGGTGATTGTTAAAGAAAATGTACCCATTGCACTTCTAATTTTTTTACTTCATCGAAAAAATCCAGATAAACCTTTTTGCCATAATTTTTCTATTTCTTATATTTTAATATTTTTGTTTTTTAAAAAATATTGTCATTAAACAATTACTGTTAAATGATTTTTATATTAATGATAATTGTTAAATTGTTCATTTTGTTGCAGTAAAATCTATTCACTATTTTTATAAATGAAAATTCTATTGTTGATTGAAACTGTTGGATTAGGTTGGGAATAGTTCGAATGGATTGTTACATGTTGGTTCTCCCACCCCTCTCCAATCCCATCATGGTTCTACCATTCCCATCCACCATACTTCCCATACATCTAGACACACCTCCTCCCTTCCAACTCCTACAGGCTCCTTACACCATCAGCCAGTCTCCCTACATCAGCAACCTGTCTCCCTACAACCTCAGTCAGGCTCCCATCGATTTCCCCTCCCTTCCCATCAACCTGGAGGCTCCCCCCTCCAATCTGCTATATTAAGTCAGCAGGGACAACGTGTCCCCTTGTATCCCCCTACCTCTAGCTATACACCAAACCCATATCCAGTCATTCTACAACAACAACAACCTGCTGTACAACAACAACAACAACCGCATTTACGAGTAGATGTACCAGTGCTCCCGCCAATATCAAGTCTGAAAAACAACATTAAGGAAACATAAATCAAAAAATATTTTCAAGATCGAGTCTTATTACATTATTTATAATTATAGAACTACAGTTGTTGTACGTATGCTATACACTCTTTACCAGGTTTTTGTTCCCAGGAAGAAATTTAAAATTGCTATTCATACCCCCCACCCCACACCTTTTTTTAATTATTTCGATTATTCAGATTTTGTCTTATCTTTGGGAAATTATTTTAATAATTAAAGCAAAAAGCAGTTTGTTAAGTTTTTTTTGTTAAAACATTGGTTTGTTCGATCCAGGAATCTGAATCCGAAGTGAACTATAGTATCCTGACAAACTTTAACGAAATCTACGCCGAGCTGAGTAAGGAGAACCTGGAGAAGATGGTCACTTGCTCCTACTGCCCAAGGAGGTAGGACAGTGTGAGAAAGTGATTCTGGATATAATGAAAGTTAATATGATGAAAAGAATGTGAAAGGAAAGTGAAAGAGATGTAAGGAAAATGAAAGAGGTGTTGAGAAGATGACAAGAAAGTGAAAAAGATTATAGGAAAGTGTAAAAAATGAAAGGAAAGTGAAATCTGGAAAACTAGATGATAGAAAGGAAAGGATGCAGAGTGAGCCAAATAATTGTCTGATTTTATTATCTACCTGATTGGAAACCTTCACGGAGGGGGGAGGGGGGGCTTAAACGTTAAAATTAGAGGAAATAGTTGCAAAAATATTTTATCCAACTTATCTTCCAGGGCTTCTTAAGATTGCTTCAAAATTCAGATAATAATGCAAAAAATAGCAAGTTCTTCATTAAAGTCTCAAACTAAACTCACGAAATATTTCTTTTCAAATGTTAATAATTATTGTTATTAATCATGCATAGAGAGACTCGTTTCTTTCAAACTCGGATTTTGTCTGTTATATTCACGAAATTGTTTATTTATAAGACTATTTTTCTTTTCAATTTGTTCAATTTTAGATTCCAGTTTGTTTCTGTTCTTTTGGAGCATATGTTCTCACATATATCCAACGTTGAGAAGATTGCCACCATGAAAATGAACATCTGGGTTTCAAAGCGTAATCTCAAATGTACGCAAAACGGTTGTAAGAATAAGTTTGCGTACACCCTGGACTATACTAAACATCGTGACGCACACGAGTACGAGGGTTTAACCTGCGGGGTATGCCGGTCACTGCAGACTAGTCCTGTCACGTACGCGCGTCACCTGAGAGCAGAACATGAAGCATTTCTGTTTCTTAAGGAAACGCAAGCTGAGGATACGATACAGACTAAGCAGGTACTCAACATCTTGTACGCAATATGCAAAACATCATGTACGCGATAACATCACAATATGTATTAAACTAAATCATGATTTTCTTAACATCATCGACATCGCATGATATACGCAACAACATCATGATGTACGCCCTATACACGTCTCACCATGATGGATGTAACAGTATCATATATTGCAACATCATCATGATGTCTTCAACACCATCATGATGTACGCAACATCATCATGATGTACGCAACATAATCATGATGTACGCAACAACATAATGATTTACGGTACAACATCATGATGTATGCAACATCATGTTGTAAGCAACATCATATATCATAATATAAGTAGTAAACTCATTATGTACGTAACCATATTATGATTTAAGCAACAGCATTATGATATGTACAGATACACACAACAATTTTAACACTTATTTGAATTATGTCAACAAGTGTAATAATTATGCAATTCGACCTTCTTTTGTTCAGATATATTAGTAAAACGATTAAATCTGAGGATATGGAAAAAATAGATTGGACTCAGAATGTTGTCGCCACAAGTCTTAATGCTCTTTAAAAAAGAAAATTTCCCTTAAAAGAAAATATCTTTCAGTGGCTCTTAAGTATAGTACTTACTTTCTTATAAAATTGTCATTCTTTAGCCTCGTAAACTACTGAGTTTAGTAAACTGAACTGTCCGTTCTATACATAATCTGTATTCTTAACTTTTATTTGTATGCAATTTTATGCAAGTATGCTGTAAGTAAGTCATTATGGTACTTTTGCACAAAATGCATTTTTTATTATCTGTTCGCATAATTGTAATACATCTATTTTTAGATGGAGCCTTCAAGTCCTGTTATTAGTGAGGCGAGAAGCCCCCTATTCCAACATAATTCTATTGGATGTACTGATGTAAAAACCCCTCATTCTGCGCCTGGTATGCTTGCCTCGCCTCAGTCTTACCATGTTCCGCCTTCCCCCCAGCAACCATTTTCCGCTCCGCCCTCCGCCTGTTTCCTAGAGGAGGCGGAGCTCCCTCCCATTCAGCATATGCCAAACCTTGTGGAGGGTGGGCAGCCTCAACTTGGAGGTCATGAGCTCCCACACATCGGGCTTTCAGGGCATATCCAACCTAACCTAGATCTCAATCAACAAGTTAATGGTATGATCCAACCAGTCCACAATCAACCCGTACTTGCTCCTACTCACATCGTACATGGAGTAAACTCCGGGCCCAGGATACCACAGATGGAACTGCATTCGCCGTCCCAACCAGAAAGATGGAGAAGGACGTCCCCTTCATCCAACCACGTGGTGTATACTCAAAACCACGCCTCACCAGCCAACCAGGCGGATTATGACCATGCCTCCCCAGCCACCCAGATGGGTTATACACCCAACCACGCCTCCCCGGCCGTGGTCTATAATTCTGATCATGCCTCCCCAGCCAACCAGGCGGGTTACGATCACGCCTCCCCTGTTACGCAGGTGGTGTACACATCTGACCACGCCTCCCCTGCTAACCAGGCGGTATCTGAAGAAGAAAATATCATGGATTTAATCAAGGATCTTGAAAGCTTTGGTAAGTTTTCACTGAGATGGAAACCTTTAAAAGAACAGAATGAGATGAACTGATTCTTCTCACAAAGGGATTAACTAATCTTTGGTCTGAAGTTCACCTCATTCCATTCATTAAAATATTCCATGTTCTGTTTACCATTTAACTATTTTTAGTAATTTGATCTATTTATTTGTGTTGTTGTGTACGTTGTATTCTCAATTGGGATTCAACATTTAAAAATCCAACACGTTATATTTGAGTTGTTTAAAGAGCGGAATGACGGATAACTGAACTTGTTCATCTTTTAATCATTTTTTTAAATTAAGTCTTGAAGTTAAAAAAAAAAGTTTAAATATTTGTTTTTAAATACTGAATGATGAATTAATAGATTTCGGGTTTAAAATGGCGTTGCATTATGTGTCAAATGTTTTTAATTATAGCATGTATCAAAGAATTTGCAAAAGTGATACATTACGATTTTTTAAATACAGCCGTGTCGACTTAAGTCCAGAAACCCCTCCTCCCTCAGCATCGTAAATTATTTGAATTTAAAATGTTTAGAACACAACCCCCCTGAGCCTAGTCCCGTAACCTCTCACCCCTCGGAGAACTCTGTCTGTTCTGATCTAAGCCTGGAGAAGGAACGAACCCAACCCTATCTAAGCCTGGAGAAAGAGCGACCCCAACCCTCGGATGCTCAGATCCTGGCGGACCTGGAGACAGAGATGAAGGAGAACCAGACCAGGGAGAAAATATTAAATATTCTAGAAAAAGATTTAGAATTTGAAAAAAATGACTATAATCTTAAAATTTTCCCCCCTCCTGACTTTTTAGTTACTAAATCTAATGAATAGCCAGATTTAGTTGAACTGGGTAGACGAGGCTGAACGCCTTCTCTTTAATTTGAACCGGTGTACAAGCTATGTCTTTGCAGTTCAACTACTTTTCGCTATTCATTACAGCTGGTCCATGAGAAACCAAACTGAAAAATAATGAATATTTATGATGAAAAAAAAAAGATACACCAGGAAATCGATTTGGTATTTTCTTCATAATATAATTGTGAAGATGATAGAAAAAACGAAATTGTACCAATTATGTATAAGATGATTACGATTATAGATTAAGACAAAAAAAACAGAGCTGAGCTGGGAACTTTAGAATTGTGAATATTGAGAATAATGCTTGATCCTCTCTTTTTCTTAATCTCGAGACTAACCTAATCTTGTTCTTGTATCCTGAAAAGTGTATAAAATTCAACCAATCAAAGTCGCGTATCTGAAGCCGGGAAATTTGTAATTTTGCGCCCCATTTAAAATTAATATACAGAAACGGGAGGGACTTTTTAATTTAAAAAACCGGGTTTTTTTTTTTTTTTCCTCTACTTTATCCAAAAAGAGTGGATTAAGCAAGAAATTAAGTTTCCACATTGGATATCCGGATTAAGCAGTCGGGATTACAGGTATCCCATTCTAAAGTTCCCAGCACTGTTGAGGGGTAGTGTGAAAATTATGTTGGATAAACTTTTATCATGAGAGAACAGGGAGGGAGGGTATTACAAATAAGCACAGAAAATGCGAACAAAATTTGACACTAAAGTACTGGGGGGGAGGGTGTCATGTACTTAATTTAGAGAAAAGTAAAAGGAGGAAGATATGGAGGGATTAAAAGAGAGAGGAATAAAGTAAAAAGGGAAAGGAATTGGAATGGAAATGGAAAGGTAAAGTGGAGATAAAGGAAAGGAAACGGAGGGGTAAGCAAAGGGAATCAAAAGGATGAAATTATGACAACCAATATTATCGATTGAGCAGAGATTACAAATCCTTCGAAGATTCAGCTCGCGACTTCAAACCTTTCGATCAATCGAGACAATTTGGAGGAAACAGACCGTTTGAGAACACTCAACATTTTCAAACAACTGCTGGGGGACAGTTTCAAGTGTATCCTCCAGGTAAATGGTTTTTTTTCTTTTTCTAAAACTACGTAGATGACCAAAATTGGTAAATTTTAAGCATATCAAGATTTCCATTTGATTAAATTTAATTAAATATCCCTGGTTTTATTTCGAAAATTACAATTTAGTCGTTCAATTTCTTTCATTGCCGAATGTTTTTGTTTCCTAAACTTGACTTTGTTTTCGTGTTTAAAAATGTTTTATCCAATCAAAACTTTAAAGTAGAAGTTACGCCTGCTCACTGGAATTCGTCTTTCTTCAATCTTTGTGGATTCGTCCAACTTTTCAAATTTGTTCAACCATGCGGATTCGTACAGCCATGCGAACACGTCCAACCACGTGATTTTCGTCAAGTCATACAAATTCGCCCATTCGTATTTGTTTGTTATAAAAATTCGTTTGATCATCTGAATTCATCAAAAAGTTCGAATTAAATTCATAGTATTATGAAAAGTTTAAGAATGATGGTGATACAATGTTATTTAACAGCATGATTTTCTATTTTCCTCTTCCCCTTATACTCTCCATAAAAGAACTTCAAAATTTGGCTAAATTCTCATAAGTGAGGAATTAAGAAATTTTAGTTAATATTCTTTATAAATTATTGTTGCGAAATAGAATTTGCAATAAAACATTGTGACCAGAGTACAATACAGTGCTAGCAACAAAAACTAACTAGTGATAATATTCAGTCATATTACTTAGGATTAAGGCTTGATAAAGCTTTCATCGTTAATGAGCCTTGTTTGATGGATTTTCAATAATTGGGGTATGTTGTCTTTCATATATGAGGGGGAGTGCACCTCAAAGTAATTTGCTCAATTTTGACCTTTCTTTTTTATTATGTTAGTTTTCTAAAATCTATTGTTTACTGAAATATTTAAATATTTGTACTCTAGGGTTCACTGTCTGTATAATGTATTAAGCTAAACAAACCTGTTAGGACTATCTTTCGAAATCTGTTGAAAGAGAGAGGGGGGGTATAAACATTAGACCAGACAGAAGGCATTGCCTTTTCAGTATTGCCTTTTCAAAAGATATCTTACATGATATCAGAAGATTTAATACTTGGTATCAGAAGATATACGTGTTGGTATCAGAAAATATACGTGTTGGTATCAGAAGATATATGAGTTGGTATCAGTAAGTATATGAGTTGGTATCAGAAGATATATGAGATGGTATCAGAAGATATATGAAAATGATAATCTATATACTTATATGTTACCTCCTCACGTTATTATTATTTTCTAATAAACTGTTTCTGAGAAGGATTAGAGAAATATCCATTTTCGGAGTGCATTTACATTAAGGATAGACAGACAGACAGACAGACAGACAGACAGACAGACAGACAGACAGATAGACAGAGAGATAGACAGATAGACAGATAGACAGATAGATAGATAGATCTCAGTGCCTTGCTAGTTGCTAAGCAAAAACATTTTATAAATACTTCACAGGCAATCGTTTGCACTTAGCACCCTTCAGGCATTGCATATCCATGCTTGCAAAACTATAAGTTTACATTTATCAGGGTTAAATGATTTATTGTTGTAAAATATTCAACACAAACTAGTTAGTTGCGTTGAATAAGTGTGACGGCGTAAACATTGCGTAGGATTCCTCTGCTACGGGGGGTAATTTGTCAATGTTATCTAAATAGAACTAACAAGGTGTGTTGCAGTTACCAGATTCTTTGGCTGTGAAAATAATTTAAAGACAGAATTTTCCCCCACTAACTAAATTTGTTAAACCATTTTTTTAAAGAGAATTTGAGACATGCTAGAATTTATTAAATCAGCTTTGTTTATATCTAGGCTATGCAATTAATGCAATTGTTTTCTTAAGCCAATTTTTTATTTAAAGTTATATAATTAAACTGATATCAGTCAAGTATTGAGTAATACCTTACTTAAAGGGGCTGTATATGTAGGTGTAAGTGACCCCCCATGCAAAGAGAGCAGTGCCGATTTACAACGGTACCCTTGAAACCTTTACCTGAAGATATTTTCGTTTTCTAGTTTTAATTCGAATAATTCCTTTGCGTTTTCCTGCAGTTGAAATGCGCAAGTCAGTTTGTAGAGACACCACAATTAAAAATGTAGGGTACCGTTGTGAATCGGGCATTGCCATTTTTGAATGGAGAGTAACTTGAAACTACGCTTACAGTTCCTTTAAGATCGGAAACATGATCAAATGTTGGGATTTCCAATTGAGTAATTTTTAAATATTTTAGTAATGAATTTGAATTTGTATTTTGACTGTTGACGCAATCCTCCATTAAAGAAGTGCATTTACGATTTACAAGGGTACCTTTCTAACCTTTATCTGAGTAATAATGATAAAATTATCATCGTTTTCCTATCTTACCAGATTTAAATTCTAAAAGTCACCTACAGAAACCACAGTTGTCCATGGTCAACTTTTAGTTAGAAAAACTAGAATGTCTCATTCATCCGCGATCTGACAAAGAGTCTATATCCTGACCCTTCCCCCTCCACCCGTTTGTGTTCAAGTGGAGAAAGATAAGAAATCAGTTTTCAACTCCTTTCTTTTTTATTAAGTCCCCTCAGTTATTCATCGTTTTCTCTTAGAAAATTCATTATTTTCAAATGTGGTTTCTCTATTAAGTGACTCATGATTTTTGTTCAGAAACAATGTAGGAAATTTTCGGAATTTATTTAATTTGGGGGGGGGGGATATAAACTTCAGTATAATATCCTATTTTCTAAAATGAATTTAATGAAAATAATTGTGTTTGCATTGTAGCTTCTCTTATCAGTAAACACATAGATAAATGTATAATCCACAGATAATAATGTTTGAATCCTGCAATATCAATTTTAATTACAAGCTTTTAGACAATTTTAACCTTTTTATATTTTTATTTAATTTTTTTGTTGTTAGTTCAGATATAGCCAACATTATACCTAAAATTACCCAAGGTGTATAGTAGATGGATTTTATTTAGTTGAAATTATTGTGTAATTTTCTGGAAATTTATTTCAGTTGAAAATGTTGCTTAGCCACCCTGGTTTCATGTGTACAGTAGTTGTTAATAGTTAGAAAAACATAAAAAGTATTATGACCATATATGAAAACATATTTTTTTTTTTAATTGGTCAGACTCATTCGGATTAATTTAATATCTTCTTTTACTCTAGGAGACCAGCAGAGTAACAGAGGGAACTCGGAGCTTAACGGATCTAACCCAACCCTCTCAGGATCCGAACCCAACCTAACCCGTCTTTATCAGGATCAAGCTTACTCTTATCAACAGCAGATCGCCAGATCTCGAGAAGTTAAAAGCATTGTTGCTAAAAGGATCAATGATCGAAGATCTCGATCGTCTAGCGGCAGTGATATTGCTTCAAAAGTTTCCACCACCTTAGATCCGGCAGATAGCGGAAAAATTGTCGTGAAGACTAGTGAATCCTCCAATTCATCTCATCAGGAAATATATCTAGATTTATTACGTACTTTTCTAATTTACGCATTTTTCCACCAAGTTTTGTGCGTAGTTTTGTTACTGTATGCAACCTGGTATTCTTGGAAATCATCTTAAACAGGTTTATGGCTAACTCTAAGGGGGGGTGGTTAGAGAGATAAATCGAAACTTGTGTAAACCTGTTTTCAAACAAGGAAGGGGAGGGGGGAGGAGAATTGAGTTTAAAAAGGACTGGTTGGGGTTTTTATGGCCACTGTTACTATGGAAGTCAGAATACCTGTTATTATTGAACTAAAAAATATCATTTTGTTTCCTACAACCTCACACTATGGCCTATTATAGTGTTCTAAATTCGATTGCAATTTTACAATTTGGTTTATTTCTTCGTTAACATTCAATCTAAACCTGTAAATAAGTGCATTTCATTGATTTTTTTCAAAACCTCACTGCATTCTTATCCAAGTACATTTTTGAATTCTGCTCTAACTAGATATATTAATATAGAATCAGCGATATGCCGTCAGTACGGGATTTAACGGCGGTATCCGGGATTCCGTTGGAATCCGGGAATCTTTCGATTCCCCCGGATCCCATTGCTCCACCGGATCCCCTGGGGTTAGAATGCAGTCTCCGGGATTCCGGAGTTCCAGCGTAATTCGGGAATCCAGCTCAACTGAAATCCGGGAAATTAATTCCCCAGGTTTTCAGGATGAACGGTCATTGGCCCGGTCCGTTGTTGGACATGGGGATGACAAGCAGAAAAAAACAGGTGAGAAGAGTTTTACTTGCTTACGTAAGCTATACAGTTACAAAATCTCTCGGTCAACCGGAAGAGGTAGGGAGGGGTGGATGTGTGGAAAAGAATAAGGGGGGGGGATAACTTCTTACTGCTGAGGGAAATGATAAAATTGGCAAAAAAACTTTGTTTGCTTAGTCTTTTCTATAAATTGTTTGCCAAATTCTTAAAATAAAGCGCATTTGTATCTTTTAAAAAAATATTACTTTATTAGTAATTTTTACGGAGCCGGTGTAATTCTAGTAAAACGTGCTTTTATTTTTAAGTTTTAGTTAAGCTGTTTAGTGTAAATTAGTAATGAACAGGTGAAAGACCCGGTGTGTGGGG